ATTGTTGAAGGCTAATTTGGCATATACCGAATTTACATTAAGAAATATTTTATGGAAATGTTAAAGGTAGTGCAATATACGTATAACACTTTCCCACTAATATTATTAGGTGTATCGGGTATGAGTTATGAGATCATAATCAAAACATTTGACATAATAATTTTTTCCAAATCTTCTAAAGAACGAAGGTTCTCCTAAATTCTTAATGTTCCCTTTTAAGTCGAACGGAAGAGGTACCTACCAAAGGTGCTCTTACGATCAAGTTAATAATATGACTGTTCGATTAGCACAATAAAATTTTAAATTCATAATAAATACAATCATCTACCTCTTTATCTGGGACTTATATTTATAGTTTTCTATATGGGCTTATAATTAGCATAAGCTTAATCATGGCTCAATGACTAGTAATCACATTTTACTTGTAAACTTGATTATTATATAAGTTTAAGCATTTGGATGAACGGTCAGTCAATCTCTTGACCGACTTGCTTGAATAACAAGATTCAGGTACGTTTTGACATCCACCAACTACAACGTACCGTATGACCGTCTGGGTTGAACAAATGATTTTTCGCTAAACAAATGCATGTTTGTTCGCCCAGCGAAAGGTTAATCTCTGTAATTGGTTAATTAGTCGAGAAAGAAAGAAGGAAGGCAATTCCGATTGTGGGAAACACGAAGAAACTCGAAGAATTGGTCATAGGCTACTCCAAGGCATCAAGACGTTGTTCTTCCATCAATTTTTGTCACACTTGTATGTTCTAGATGACTAAGAGTAGTTAATTTCCATTTTCACTAGGATTGGATATAATAACTCAAATTGATGTAATTCTTTTGTGCAATAAAATCTTTGTTCTTTCATATGCTTTAGCTGAATTTTCACGGTATGATGGAATGTGATAATTTGAATGTGTCGAATCATTGAAAAGTGAATTAGAACATAGACATAGATAAAGCACCCAAGAGAATTGGTGCTAGGAATGGTTTTAATCTCTTGGTAATTCTAAACATCTAAATTTAATACAAATTATATGTTAAATCAACTAAGGAATTAGTAATTTGACATATAAGTTTAGAACTAGTTCTTTAGGAATTAGGACTAGTAAACATTTGATGTGAATGTTTGAATGAAACATAGATAAATTGTAGATAGCATTTTCATCAATTGATTCATGAAGTCTAATTCCAATGAAGCTTTATCTTTATCTCAATCACAATTTCTAAACTCTTGTTGTTACAATATATTTCTTTAATTATGAACTCAATTATCATTTGCATCACAGTTGAAATTGGTAAATAAGTATTATTAGACAAACAAACACAAATAATGTGGGAAACAATACTTGGAACTTCCATTTACTACTTGTAACGAATTGGTACACTTGTCAAAGAGTTAACATAGATTGACGGAAAATTTGGGAGGGTAGCATTAGAGTGTTATTAAGAGGATCCTTAGGTGTAGGATTATGTTTTGGAAGATTGAATTAGTTGTTAAAGACTATGTCGATTTAGATTTTACAAGTGATAACAATAAAAGCAGATTTATTATTGCATATGTGTTTGCAAGAGGGATAATAAGTCGGTTGTCCAAGTTATAAGATGTTATAACTCCGCATACTACATAAGCTTAGTACATGAAAGTTGCTCAAACTTGCAAGAAAGTTAACTAGACTCAAAGATTAAAGGAAAAACTCAAAGACAAGCAACAACAAAAAATTATTGTCGTATTATAAAAGTTATATAGTGTTTTGACACCCAAAATTTATTCATTTTCTTTTATTACTTTAGTGCTTTAGAAAAAATATTAAGAGATAAAATTAATTTTTCTTTAGAAGTTTTCCTTTTAATTGTTTTTCTATTTTCAAAAGAAGATTTTATTATTTTCTTCTTAATATAGAGATAAAGATATTTTCATAACCTTTTCGTTTACTCATTCCTGAGATTCTTATATTTGGTTCAAAGTCTCAAATCGGTTCCTCACTTATTTTTATAACCTTTTCGTTTAATCATTCCTGAGATTCTTATATTTTGGTTCAAAGTCTCAAATCGAGTGGTGCCTATTTATAATATCGTAGTTAATTTCCTCATCTATTTTGCAGGTCTTAAAGCAGTAAAGCACCTACAGCTCATCTGTGACACATCCTAATATAGATTCTTCATTTTTGGCCTTCAAACGTTTAACCAAAGACCGAACGAACTTGTTTGTCCGGCCATCCAGCTTCATAACCTAAACTATTTTGATATTAATTTGATTGGCTACATTTTTCTAACCATTCGAATTCGAATTGCCATTTTCTCTTCAGTGCAGATGATAGGACCCTGCGCACAAACCACTCGGCCAACTAAAGTCTGTCGTTTGGTGATTCCACAACGAATTCACCTGAACTTCGAGTGGAAGGAGCTTCCAAAGACAATTCCCACAGCATGTCGCTCGGTGATTCCACAGTGAATTCACCTGAACTTCGAGCGGAAGGAGCTTCCAAAGAGAACTACCACAGCATGTCGCTCAGTGATTCTACAACTAATTCACCTGAACTTCGAGCGGAAGGAGCTTCCAAATAGAACTCCAACAACATGTCGCTCGGTGATTCCACAGCATGTCGCTCGGTGATTCCACAGAGAACTCACCTGAACTTTGATCGAAATGAGCTTCCAAAGCAAACTCCCACAGCATGTCGCTCGGTGATTCCACAGTGAATTCACCTGAACTTCACGTGAAAGGAGCTTCCAAAGAGAACTCCCACAGCACGTCGCTCGGTGATTCCACAGCGAATTCACCTGAACTTCGAGCAGAAGGAGCTTCCAAATAGAACTCCCACAACACATCGCTCGATGATTCCACAGCGAATTCACCTGAACTTCGAGCGGAAGGAGCTTCGAAAGAGAACTTCCAGAGCATGTTGCTCGGTGATTCCACAATGAATTCACCTAAACTTCGAGCAGAAGGAGCTTCCAAAGAGAACTCTCACAGCACGCCTCTCGTTGATTCCACAACGAATTCACCTGAACTTCGAGCGGAGGATCTTTCAAATAGAACTCCTATAGCACATCGCTCGATGATTCCAAAGAGAACTCCTAGAGTCCGCCGCTCGGTATAGAGAGGAATGAAGACTTAAAGCGCATCGAAAATAGACTCCTTGAATACAACGTGAGCGACCTCTCTTAAGCTCATAATAATCATTGTCGCACCTCTTTCAATAAAGAGTTTGCTTGGGTTTGGGGAACTTATGTACTATAATAAATATATCGAACGGAGTTAATGATAATTTATGGGCAGTTTGTAGGTATATTAGGAGATACTAATGGGTCAGATTGTTTTACGCTTTACAAATATACAGTATTAATAATTGATTATTGGGTTTAATTGTGTAAAAATGTACTGCATTAATGGTTAATCAATGGGTTTCGCTGCCACAAGCCCTATAAATATACGATTGATGTCTAAGTAAAGATACCTTGATCTATCCTATTAAAATAGAGACCTCTTTATGAAACATATCTGACTTGAGTGTCGGAGTGTCTTCTACATTTCAACAACCCATGGAAGTGGATTGCGTTGTTGAATAGGATTGGACGATCGGAGCAGAGCAGAGCAGGACGACCGACCCTCGGACCAATTCAACCGAAATAGAGACTGGAGAGAAAATTGAGATTGCACAATCATAAAAGATGAACCACAACAACATCGTTTAGAAACTTTTCTCAATTTTTTTAAAAAATGCAAAATTCCACGTCATTAATGTTATTGTTAAAAAAATTCACCTCTCATGTCAATGTATTTTTAACGTTCTTTCTGATGTAATTGAATCAATTTTTCATAAATACAGACCTAATTGAAAATAAAAATAAGTGAAGAACCGATTTAAAACTTCAACCAAAAATAAAAACATAAAAATGATTAACCCTGACTTTTTTTCTTTTAACACTCTAATACTCATCCAATGAATTGTGTTGCTTATAAAAAAAATAATTAAGAAGCTAACTACACCGACATTCATTAAATTCCCCCGAAGAAAGGCAATATAACCACAAGGATATTTTTTCTCCAATGGTGATAGAAGACAACAAACATTATTCATTGCAAAACTTGGAGAAATAAAATTAATTCAAGAAAGCTAACGTGAGAGAAGTGATTGATAACAAAAGCATATTTTAGGCAAAAATATTAGTTAGTACCACCAAATAAAATATACATTTCTGAACCACATGATAAAGTAGAATACGCCTGGATTATTGAATCAACTTTTGTAACAGAATAAGCTAATTTTCATTACACAGCAACTTTCACTTATTTATCACACAAAAGTAACAGATAAAAAAAGTGGGCAGATATTTGCTCTTATTGGTGGGTGCTGTATCCATCATAACTAGACGGAAAGGTTGCATTTTTCTAAAGAGAATCAAGTCCTTGAAGAAAAAGGGAAGTAAAATCTTCCATCTCACTTTTACTTAACAGCAATCCAATCTCAATTCCTCCACTGATATCCCTACTTTCACTGAGAGAAAATGCTCCTGTTTTGTCTGTGGATACCATATCCACCTTCTTTGGCCTTCCCCACCCAAAATCAATGCTATAAACCTCAAACAACGGAGACCCACCAGTAGAAATTATTCTACCCTCCCGAGGGTCATGCATACTCGAAACCCATTTTTCTGCTCCATTCAAAACTCCCTCTTCCTTCACCCTATTCAAAGCCTCAACTATCCTCTCCAAAGCACAAATGAACCCATCTTTTCCAATCAACTCCTTAGTCAAAGCCACAACGAATTCTCCTTTAACGCAGTTTCCAAAATACGTGGCTGGAATTGGAGGATCCAAGCGCGTTCTACAGTCAACAGAAAATATGCACAGCACATTTTCATCCTTCACTTGGTTCGCTTTGACCCAACACGCTAACACATACGCACACGTAACAGAAAATGTTGACAGACGAACAGCCACTTTGACCTTTGAGTTTCCGTATTGTTTGAGCTTTTGAATCTGTGAAGGGGTCAATTCAAACAAACCTTTGAGTCCATCGCTCGGTGTTGCAGTGAGAGACTCCCACACCTTGAGACTTCGGTTATTCGAACCATTATGATTCATCCACTGCTCTGCGTACAGTTCAGCCAATCCAGAAGGGTCTCTAATCAATGATCTGTCAAAGATAGGCGTAAGATGGTGAGGTAAGGATGGTGTTGGTGTGGGTGTAGTAGGGTTTTGAAGGTTAGAGCATATATAGGCCCATGCTTTGATGAACATGGATGAAGATTTTCCGTCGAAAGCTGCATGGTGTGTGGTTACTCCAATGCAAAAGCCAGCGTTTGGGAAGAGAGTGACTTGAACCGCCAACAGAGATGCTTTATCATGGGAATTGGCCAAGTGGGGTGCTAAATCGTTGCGCTGTGATGCTTCACAGAGATGGGAGCAAAGATGGTTGAAGTTTAGGTCGGACTCAGCAACAGTGAAGGAAACGGTGTCGCCGGGGAGATAGTTGATGATGGGTTTGGGAGAGTGAGAGGGCCATGTGAGAGTGCCAGAGAAAGGGAGGAAGTGTTGGAGAGTGAGGGAAAGAGAAAGTTTGAGAGAGGGAAGAAGAGAATGAAGGAAAGAAGAGGTTGGGTGTGGGAAGTGATAGAAGAAGAGACGTTGAACAGGTGGAAATCGAAGCCATAAGAGGTCGAAGAAGGTTAGTGGAAGAGAGGTTGGCACAAGGGTGGAAAGGGTTGGTTCTTGAAACGGTGCCACCGAACAAACATGGATAACTTTGAGAGGTGCTGGTGATGCTGCTTGTGTCATGGTTCAGGGGAATGGAGAAGCAGTGGTGCACTTGAAAAGGAAGTGAAAGTCGTGCAGTCATGACTTGCCGTTTTGGATAAGGGAGAATTGATTAAAGGTGATAGACACGTGGTAAATATAAAACTGTGACTCATACGTGTGTGGTATGACTCTTCTTTATGCAATCTTCCTTTCTCCGACCTTACTCTCTATTCCATTTTCCTGACCTAATGGAAATTTTTTTTCCTGAATTGCTCTTTTTTTTTAGAGACGTGAATTTGACTCATGATTTCAGGATTAATTTTAATTTATTTTTGAAAAAGTCTCCTTTTAAAAAGTTCCTCAAATGGAAGTTCAAAAAAAGCTTCAACCTCCAAAATTCCCTCTCAACGGGATTAGAGAAGATTAGGGTCACGACTAAAGTGGGTTTAGCCCATTAAAATTTTTTTGGAAACTAAACTTCAAACATTCTTAATAGTAACTATTAAAAGTACTAAATTTTATATTCATGTAATTGATTTCTTATTTCAAATTATTAAATAAAACTAATTAATTATAGTATAATAGAATATTTAATATTCAAAATAACCACTTTTTTAAATAATTAAAAACAATTGCAAACCACACACTTAATTTTATACAACTAAATAGTATTACAAATTTATTTTACTGAAATATTATAAAAATGCTTTATTTTGTTGTCAATTTTAATAAAATTATGTCTTATGTTGCAGACACCAATTATTAGAAAATTATATATGATTAGTAATATCAAAATAACCCCAAAGAGAGATAATAACATATTAATTTGATTTAATATTTGCACTGCTTTTACAGTTCTTAAAAAGAATCATTGTTTTGTTTCCTCGACTTCTAAAATATCATTCAATCTGCTTTAAATTATTTAAAATTAAAAATAATTCAAAAATTTATTATCTAAATTTTTTTGATCAAAAATAGTATTAATATTTTATGTGTAAATTAAACTTATGTTTTATTTTATTTTTTTCTCTTTGATAATCTTTTCTCAAAATCACCATAAGATATATTATAAAAAGAAAGTTAATTTCTTAAAAATTTATAAAAAAATGAAAATTTTAAATAGACCTAAAGTACTAAAGAATGACAAATGTTATAGTGTTTCAATTCTTTAACTAACACATTAAATAATTTATTTTTAACTTTCAATTAGAACACATAACATAAATGTATATTTATGTTTATGTTTATATTTATGTTTATGACATTTAAAATGTAAACATTTTGAGTGAGTAGTACGATGAGATTGAATTCTATGGATGAATACAATTTCAGTTTGCACAAGGTTTATGAGTTTTTTTCTTTTTATTTATTATTTTTGTTATGAACATGATTTGTTGAGTATAAAATGAAAAAGAAAATCATTTATATTTAATTTCTTTTTCAATAACTTTCTAAGAAAATAAAGAAGCCTATTTTTTTTTTAAATTAAGAACTTCAATTAGAGAAAATCTTCTCTTAAATTTCAATTAGGATAATTTTAGATAAAAAGTTAATTTCTTACTTATAACTTAAAAAAAGTGAAATTAAATATTTAAATTTCAAATTTATAAAATGATCCTTTAATTATATACTTAGAGAATCTAACTCATTAAATATTGTCATTTTGCTTTTGCTTCTTGATTTTAGAACTCTCCTCTTATAAAAATTTCAATTTATTTTCTATAGTAACTATTTTTGTAACAAATTAGAAGTTAATTATATTTTTTCTTGTATTCAAAATGAACATTTTTTCTAAAAAAAGGGCCCATGGGTTGGCCCTAGCCCACAGGGCTTTTGAAGATATTTTGGCTCTGTGGGCTTTTTCTACGAGGGGCTTTTTGGTCCTGTGGATTTTTTTGGTCCCAACTCACGTGGGTTAGGGCCAAACCATGTAAGGAGGGCCAAATTGATAGGTCTACTCTCCCAAATTGGCATTCCACAAAATTATTATGACCTCTGCCACCATTTTGCTTTATTGTTCTGTTTCTTTTTGTTGTTGTCAAATAATTTTTTATTGTTGTTTCAGATCCTATTTTCTTCTTATTAATAAAAACATCTTAAAAATTCTTTTCTACTCTAGCACAGTTACATGCTGAAGGCCTACATTGCTTAAAATTATTTCTTAAAAGTTTTAGAACTTACTGGTCAAATTGCAATTGCAATCTCATTTATCACTATGAATTATTGTTGAAGGCTAATTTGGCATATACCGAATTTACATTAAGAAATATTTTATGGAAATGTTAAAGGTAGTGCAATATACGTATAACACTTTCCCACTAATATTATTAGGTGTATCGGGTATGAGTTATGAGATCATAATCAAAACATTTGACATAATAATTTTTTCCAAATCTTCTAAAGAACGAAGGTTCTCCTAAATTCTTAATGTTCCCTTTTAAGTCGAACGGAAGAGGTACCTACCAAAGGTGCTCTTACGATCAAGTTAATAATATGACTGTTCGATTAGCACAATAAAATTTTAAATTCATAATAAATACAATCATCTACCTCTTTATCTGGGACTTATATTTATAGGTTTCTATATGGGCTTATAATTAGCATAAGCTTAATCATGGCTCAATGACTAGTAATCACATTTTACTTGTAAACTTGATTATTATATAAGTTTAAGCATTTGGATGAACGGTCAGTCAATCTCTTGACCGACTGGCTTGAATAACAAGATTCAGGTACGTTTTGACATCCACCAACTACAACGTACCGTATGACCGTCTGGGTTGAACAAATGATTTTTCGCTAAACAAATGCATGTTTGTTCGCCCAGCGAAAGGTTAATCTCTGTAATTGGTTAATTAGTCGAGAAAGAAAGAAGGAAGGCAATTCCGATTGTGGGAAACACGAAGAAACTCGAAGAATTGGTCAAAGGCTACTCCAAGGCATCAAGACGTTGTTCTTCCATCAATTTTTGTCACACTTGTATGTTCTAGATGACTAAGAGTAGTTAATTTCCATTTTCACTAGGATTGGATATAATAACTCAAATTGATGTAATTCTTCTGTGCAATAAAATCTTTGTTCGTTCATATGCTTTAGCTGAATTTTCACGGTATGATGGAATGTGATAATTTGAATGTGTCGAATCATTGAAAAGTGAATTAGAACATAGACATAGATAAAGCACCCAAGAGAATTGGTGCTAGGAATGGTTTTAATCTCTTGGTAATTCTAAACATCTAAATTTAATACAAATTATATGTTAAATCAACTAAGGAATTAGTAATTTGACATATAAGTTTAGAACTAGTTCTTTAGGAATTAGGACTAGTAAACATTTGATGTGAATGTTTGAATGAAACATAGATAAATTGTAGATAGCATTTTCATCAATTGATTCATGAAGTCTAATTCCAATGAAGCTTTATCTTTATCTCAATCACAATTTCTAAACTCTTGTTGTTACAATATATTTCTTTAATTATGAACTCAATTATCATTTGCATCACAGTTGAAATTGGTAAATAAGTATTATTAGACAAACAAACACAAATAATGTGGGAAACAATACTTGGAACTTCCATTTACTACTTGTAACGAATTGGTACACTTGTCAAAGAGTTAACATAGATTGACGGAAAATTTGGGAGGGTAGCATTAGAGTGTTATTAAGAGGATCCTTAGGTGTAGGATTATGTTTTGGAAGATTGAATTAGTTGTTAAAGACTATGTCGATTTAGATTTTACAAGTGATAACAATAAAAGCAGATTTATTATTGCATATGTGTTTGCAAGAGGGATAATAAGTCGGTTGTCCAAGTTATAAGATGTTATAACTCCGCATACTACATAAGCTTAGTACATGAAAGTTGCTCAAACTTGCAAGAAAGTTAACTAGACTCAAAGATTAAAGGAAAAACTCAAAGACAAGCAACAACAAAAAATTATTGTCGTATTATAAAAGTTATATAGTGTTTTGACACCCAAAATTTATTCATTTTCTTTTATTACTTTAGTGCTTTAGAAAAAATATTAAGAGATAAAATTAATTTTTCTTTAGAAGTTTTCCTTTTAATTGTTTTTCTATTTTCAAAAGAAGATTTTATTATTTTCTTCTTAATATAGAGATAAAGATATTTTCATAACCTTTTCGTTTACTCATTCCTGAGATTCTTATATTTGGTTCAAAGTCTCAAATCGGTTCCTCACTTATTTTTATAACCTTTTCGTTTAATCATTCCTGAGATTCTTATATTTTGGTTCAAAGTCTCAAATCGAGTGGTGCCTATTTATAATATCGTAGTTAATTTCCTCATCTATTTTGCAGGTCTTAAAGCAGTAAAGCACCTACAGCTCATCTGTGACACATCCTAATATAGATTCTTCATTTTTGGCCTTCAAACGTTTAACCAAAGACCGAACGAACTTGTTTGTCCGGCCATCCAGCTTCATAACCTAAACTATTTTGATATTAATTTGATTGGCTACATTTTTCTAACCATTCGAATTCGAATTGCCATTTTCTCTTCAGTGCAGATGATAGGACCCTGCGCACAAACCACTCGGCCAACTAAAGTCTGTCGTTTGGTGATTCCACAACGAATTCACCTGAACTTCGAGTGGAAGGAGCTTCCAAAGACAATTCCCACAGCATGTCGCTCGGTGATTCCACAGTGAATTCACCTGAACTTCGAGCGGAAGGAGCTTCCAAAGAGAACTACCACAGCATGTCGCTCAGTGATTCTACAACTAATTCACCTGAACTTCGAGCGGAAGGAGCTTCCAAATAGAACTCCAACAACATGTCGCTCGGTGATTCCACAGCATGTCGCTCGGTGATTCCACAGAGAACTCACCTGAACTTTGATCGAAATGAGCTTCCAAAGCAAACTCCCACAGCATGTCGCTCGGTGATTCCACAGTGAATTCACCTGAACTTCACGTGAAAGGAGCTTCCAAAGAGAACTCCCACAGCACGTCGCTCGGTGATTCCACAGCGAATTCACCTGAACTTCGAGCAGAAGGAGCTTCCAAATAGAACTCCCACAACACATCGCTCGATGATTCCACAGCGAATTCACCTGAACTTCGAGCGGAAGGAG